CGGGGTAGCACCGGGAAGGCCCCTGCTGGGTATTCCCCTCTCCCGGCTGCAGCCAGGGCTCCGGGCTCCCAGCACCAGCCGCCGGGGCTCGGGGATCTCGCCAGGAGCCTGGAGCCAGAGTCACCGCAGCGGCTGCGAGTCACTTCCTGCTGTCGGGCCTGAGCCCAGCGATCGCTCCCCCCAGAGCCGCCTCCCAGCCGCCCCTGGGTCCTAGCGATCAACCCATCGCCTGCAGCATCTCTGTGTCCGGCTCCTGTTCCACTCACAGGGTCTAAGGTCAGAAGGGCCCATCATGAGCATCTAGCCCAGGGGTTCTCACGACCAAATTTTTGGTGGCCTCAGAGTGTGGCCAGCAACTCTCACTGGTGCCGCTCTGACACTTTCCCCTAAAATACTGAATGAACTTTCGGGGAAACCAGTAAACATGTGCAGAGGTAAGCGGGAAATGGTCCCACTATTGCAGGGAACTCTCCTGACTTAAACACCCCCTGGGTGGAATCAAAAAGCAGAAGGATCTGAGTCCTCGTTGGCTGCCCCCCTCCTCCGAGTTGCCCCCTTTGCCCCTTTTTAACCACTGTAAAAAGCACTCAGCACAGTCTTACACTTAATAAATGCAGGGTGAAGGGCAGTGCCTTCAGAAGATGTTACTGTGCACACTCAGTCCACCATAAGTAGCACATTCCTCCAGGGAGCAGTTTTCTGTACTGCACCCGTGGGAGAGTTAATTAATCCACCCCAATGGGCGATAGCAGCTATGTCTGTGGGAGAAGCTAAAATAAATAAATGCCAATTGACTCTCCTTCGGAAGGAGGCAGGAAATGGGAAATGCCAGCCAGAGGGGATTTCCCTGGCAGATAAGATTTCCAACTCTCCCGGAACAGGCACCGTTGCTGCAAATGGTGTCCAGTGCAGGAGAGTAGGCAACCCCACTGGCAGATGAAAAATTTTCCCCACAGACCCTAGAAGAGGCTGAAAAGCTGAAGAATTATCAGCTCTGGTCTGAGCATGGGCAGCAGGTATAGCAGGGCGGGGGAAGGGAGGCTAAGCAATGGTGGTTGAAGCATGAAGGGACAGAGGAATCTTTAGCGCATCTGGCATGTAAATATCTTGTGACTCCGGCTGCAACAGTGTCATAAGATTGCCTCTTCTCACTTGCAGCATTACCTCCTGCAAATGGAAACAAACTTGTTTGTCTAAGCGATTGGCTGAACAAGAAGTGGAACTGAGTGGACGTACAGGCTCTGAAATTTTACATTGTTTTATTTTTGAATGCAGGTATTTTTTACATAATTCTACATTTGTAAGTTCAACTTTCATGATAAAGGGATTGTGCTACAGTACTTGTAATAGGTGAATTGAAAAATACGATTTCTTTTGGGGGCTTTACAGTGCAAATATTTGTAATAAAAATAAAGTGAGCAGTCTACACTTTGCATTCTGTGTTGTAAATGAAATCAATATATTTGAAAATGGGGACAACATCCAAAACTATTTAGAGAAATGCTATTCTATTGTTAATAGTTCAAATACTCATGTGATTAATCAGGGTTAATTTTTTTAATCACTTGAAATCCCTAATTCCAATTGATTTCATTGTTAAAATTATATGGTAAGAAAGAGAAAGGCAGCAGTTTTTAATAGTAGCTGTGACATTTTTGTATTTTTCTGTCGGATTTTGGAAGCAAGTCATTTTTAAGTGAGCCAAGGAGGCAAGACAGATCAGACTCCTGAGAGGGGTGCAGAGGTGGTGAGAGGCTGAGAGCCACTGGCATGTAGGACCAACAGAGAGAGCTCACTGGAGAACAGACAGTGGTGGGAGGACCACTTCAGCGGTTTACTGGACTACAACTGGGGGACAAGAAGAGCACCCTGCAATCCTTCAGGAAGCCAAAAGGAGAGCACACTTTGCGTTCATGAAAAGGGGGATTTCATCAATGGTGGCAGGTGACCCTGGGAGAATGCTTTAGCCATGGATTTTACCTGTAAAAGTTAATCTCAGCCTATCTGAATCCTGTTATACCTGGTGTTTGGTGTGTAACCTGTTGGTCTTATTGCTTCACTCACTATCTCTTCAATCTTAGCTAATAAGCTCCTGTTTGTTTTCACTAAAAATATATCTCAGTTCTGTGATGTCCTATTGGCGCTGATCCTCAGTTGAATCAAACAAGCTGGTGTCCCAACGGCTTACCTGGGAATTTCTGAGTATCCAGTGGAGAGCGGCTGGACACTACAGAAGGACACGTCAGAGGGGCTGGAGACGAGGTTGCACCTAGTGTTATTCTGCAAGGCAAAGTAAGGACTGGCAGAGCCCTGATGAGTTTGTGTGGGGAGGTAAAAGGCCGGGGGTGACAGGGAACTGACAACCAGTGAAGCAGAAGCACAGCTCTCTCGTGCTGAGATGAGGGGAAACCAGGAGATTCACTGTCCGGGGTGTTGGGACGGTGCTGAATTATTATGAATTACTGCGCTTCTTATTAATGAATGTGGTGAACATGAATGTGGTACGGCTTGACATGTTAGAATTTGCTAGAGGATTCTGGGAGCAGGGCCTTCTGAGCATCACATGGTTAATGTGGAAATTCTCTATTCTGCATGTCCGTTCTGTTACCAACCTTTGTCAGTCAATATGCCCTCACTAGGTAAAGAAAACGTATAAACACGAGATCAGTGAGATTGGCACAAGCTGACCCAGGGTGTGGTCAGGGAGTAGGGGGGGTTGGATGGAGTTGGGGGTCCCGGGGGCAATCAGGAGGCAGGGGGAGTGGATAGGAGGTGGGAGATCCGGGGGGCAATCATTGGGCAGGGAGCGGGTCAGGGTTGGATAGGATAAGATCTAAACTTACCATGCACAGAGCAATCGCCCTGTATCCCAGACTCCGACAGCCCCATCCCATTGTGTGACGTATTAATCCGAGGATTCTTTTCTCTCTTTTCCCTTCTAGGATGTCAGAGGCACCTCGAGCAGACACGTGGCTCCTTCTCACTTCCCCTCACACTTCTTGAGACTGGGCAGGGGTTGGACACCAGGTGAAAGCCACGTCTCCCCTCAGCACAGTGTGGACAGGAGCCACATTTCTGCTACTTTCACTTTGTTCAAGTTAACCTTGAGGTTCTCACCCTGTGAACAAACCAGAGGATTTACTCATCCCGGGGGAAAGATTATGAACTTGTTACATCCCTGGGGGACTGGCTGCCTGTAGACACTGGGATATAATATCGGCCTTTCACTGCTAGGTCTCTGCTTACCATAGGCGCTGACTTTTCTGTCCCCAGAGGGCTCCACCCCTGCTCTGCCCTCAGGCCCCGCCCGCACTATGCCACTCCCCTGAGGCCCTGCCCTCGCTCCATCTCTTCCTGAACCCATTCCACCTCCTCCCTTAAGGTCTTGCCCTCTGTCTGCCTCTTCCCGCCCCTGCTCCAACCCCTCCCCGAAACCATAGCCAATCTGCAGCTCGCTGCTTTCCACCCTCCTCCAGGCACCTCCCCTAGCCACCAAACAGCTCATTGGCAGTCCCGCAGAACAGCTGTGGCTGGTGGGTGCTGAGCTCCCCCTATATTTTTTCCATGGGGGTTTGAGCTCCGGAGCACCCATGGGGTCAGCACCTCTGCTGTTTAGAATCATGGTACTGAGCATTGACCAAGTATAAAGAGTGACTTACAATGAAACTTAGCCCACGTCCTGCTGTCAATGGACAAATCGGTAAGGCCTAAATTTACAGCAGTGGCCTAATTGTGTGTGTCTCAGTTTATCTCCTCGAAATACAGGAGTTCAGGGCACATTTTCCACCTGCATTCGCAGCAGCAGCCGGAGTCAGTGGGCGCTGTGGGTTCCCAGCCCCTTGGAGAACCAGCCCCTAAGCACTTAGGTCAGGACCCAAATTTGGACCCTAAATCAAAAGACAGTCTTGACATTTGGACCCAGCCCATCATTGTGCTCTAGCTCCTGTGCCGGCTAGCACGGCTGTTTGTGCCTCCTCCCCAGCAGCTGCAGGCACAGGGAGTGCGGCTGGGAGGGGCAGGAGGGAGTGGGGTTGGGGCAGGGACAGGCTGGAGGAGGAAGGGGTGGAAGGGATAGAAGGATTTGGCCAGGGTGAAGCTGCACCTCTTGTACTCTGCACCCTGGCAAAGCCCCTTAGAACCATTAAACCAGGGATGCAGCTCTGGCTGGAGCTCGGGACTTGCCTAGCTGCTGCTAAGGTCTGCACTGGCCCTTGCAGCCACCGAATAGGGGCCTATTGAACCAGCGTGCTCCCTGCCTCAGTTTCCCTATCTATACAATGCTTGTGTGTTTCTTCGCATTACAGTCTATGGAGGACGAGATCCCCATCATGCTGAGCTCTGAGCAGACCCAAAAATTAAATTAAATGAAGTAGACCTGAAAAGCTTTCGATTCAGTGTCCCAAACCTGAAAGGTCTCAGCGTCCCACTGATGCCAAAGGGACCGGAGTGGGTAAAGTTACAGTCACAATTTACTGAGAAAGGGGCAGAGCACAAAAAGGTCAATGTCTTCTCTGTCATCATGAACTCTATTCAATCAGGTCTTACACATCGATTTGAGTCACTGCAACGAATTTGTACCCTTTTTGGGTTTCTTTGGCAGTTCAACAGACTGAGTAATGAAGATCTACTTTCTGCAGCTGAACAATTTCAGCAAACCGTACAACAAAGAAATCTCTAAGGGCTGGTCCCCACTTAGTCCGGACTTCGGACTAAGGTACGCAAATTCAGCTACGTTAATAACGTAGCT